CGTTTTGGGAATAAGCTTAAGGTTTCTCTCGAACTAATGAAATAATAAAAATTTTATTATTTTTTGAAAACTAATTGTATTTCTATTGACGTGTTTTACATACTACAAACATCAGCGAAGTTGTGCTTGCAATAAAACTAGTCAGCATGATGTTTACCAAAGTTTGGAATACATGCGTATTGGGAAGCCCATTTATAAAAAAAGTCTGCTAAGAGATATAAAATAGTTTTCTTATAATAATCATACATAAACTTGCATTTAAACCTACTACACAGCCCAAGTCTCAAAATACCCGAATTATTAACATTATTATCCTAGTGAATTTGTCAGGATAATTTATTCGGTAGGATTTAATTAATATACTCGTAACAACATAATTTTAAAATTAATAAAAACGGAAATTTGTATGTTATTTAACTATAAGCCATCAGCTAATGAAATGTATTAGATATATAGTCAGTGTTATATTATCTACAGTTCTAACGGTTTCTACATGTCCTTCCCCATATTGTAACACTTGTATCTGACAATGAAGCCATCTTTGAAACGAGTTTATTACTTAACGAAATAATTCATTAAATAAATATTAAATGAAACATTGAAAACAAACCTCCACTCTGTGTACGCTCTAGAAAGTGTATAAAACCATTAAAACTTGAATTAAAAAATGACCAATAAATATCTGTGATATCACAAGCGGCAAACGAGTTTTAAACTTACTTGTAAGCGGCCTCAAGATGAGAATAACTGTCGTTTATTACAGGTTATCTTTTTTATTGCCTTCACTTTCTTCTTCGTTCAACATTCATAAGATTTGTATTGTGTATACATTTAAACTTTGGTGTAAATAGAGTTAATGAACAATCAAAAACATAAGTATCTAATTTCTGTAATAGTTTGTTGATCAACGAATAGTCATACAAATACAGAAAGAAATGGTGATTACAAAACTTAAACTGTTTATAGTTTACCATACTAATATTATAAATGCGAAAGTTTTTATGTTTATGTGTTGGTTTTTTTGGGGGGGTTTAATTACGCATTAACTGAATGTCGGATTGGGCTGAAATTTGACATGATGATAGCTCACATTCCCGATTAACATATAGGCCTATCTTCTCAAAATTCCTTTCGGGTTCCACCTCAGTTACTCCTTAACCTTAAGAGTATTCATATTTGAAAGGTATTAATCAGCTGTTTCAACTAAGAGTATGATTCTATGATATTCAATAGCATTAAAAAGTTGTAAGGTGTAGGTATAACAGGTGGTGACAACGGGGTGCAGTACTATTACTTTTTTGCAATTATGACATCAGCTAATTTGAACTAATCAACAACAAAAATTGGTGGTACACGATTAGAACTGCCAAATTACGATTGTTTACAGTTATTTTTTTTAGTAATAACATAATGTGTGATATTTTTCGAATGTTTAATAATTTACTTTTTCTGTTGTTTAGGTGCAGTGGTAGAACATTATAGCTATGGTAGATGTGTTTATGTTTTATCTATGGTTATACCATAGCATACTGTAGTTTAGGAATCAAATTTTAACAAACTATGTCCACCCCCATTGCAAACGCAAGACACGAGTATAACTGCAATAAGCATTTTATACTTATACGCCAACCCTGTACGGAGGACGGGTACTGTGCTAGTTTTAAAATAAAATTGACAAAGTACATGATAAAACATTCGCACACGGCGTATTTTTCTATTGCTTACATGTATGTTTTAATTTAATTACCTATTGTCATTTAATTTAAGAAACATTTACATAAACATTAGTTTACTCCATCGGGAACTATTGTCATTCTACCAAGCAGAATATATAGTCGAAGCTGTTTTATTTATACGGAAATCTCTAAATCTCAAGCCATGTTTTGCCTTAGTTATCAAGATGAAATATAAAGCACATTAACAGGTGTGCAGGTCTTGTTTGCACGTGTCATTGTCAAGGTTACACCAATTGAGATATCTTGATTAAGTCTGATGCTGTTTGATAAGATTTGTATGACATTGTATAAATATTGTGCCACCCACGTTGGATATGTGAGATTTTATATCCTTCAAAGACACAGGAGACACGTAAGTATAAGCTCAGAAAACGGAAACAATATTGCAATTAGATGTTTCTGTTTTTGGGTTTTGATTGTAAATTCAATTAGATTGTCTACAAATTTTAAAAAGATTCGTTCCGTTTGATGCGGATTTTTAGTATTTAGCTCAAATTTAATTTCCTACGCATTATTTGAGTGTAATTTATTCATATGTTCATGAGCAAAAAACTGATGGGATGATCAAGTATTATGCTTTATTGCCAGGTGTCGGTTTAACATTCAAGTTATAAAATTATATTAATATAAGTAATTGTATGACTCTTTATTAGCGAATTTCCCTATAGGGAAGTAGCTATTACCGTAGGTCTCATGGTAAGACCTAAGCCCGGGACCGATTTACTTTTTCATTTTGATGTCCCCAGAGGCCAAAAACACCATTCGTTAAAATTTTTATATATCTATATATATATATATGTGTGTGTCCATCCGCACGATAACTTGAGTAATTTTTGTCCGATTTTGATAAAATTTGGTTTGAAGGTGTAAGGCGGGATAAACTTGAATGAGTTCGCGAACCAGCATGATCGGACTATGGGAACGGGGGTTTATGGGGGGTTTTATGGGGTAAAAATAGGTTTTTCCCATTTTTGCCCCTAAAAACACAAAATTTCACAATTTCTTTTTAAACCATTTTGTAGAGCTTAAAAAAACAAATAATTTAGTATATTGAAGCGTTATTATGCGCCTAATTGTTACGGAGAAAATTCAAAAAAATTGTAATTTTAAAATTCCCATGTTATTCTTATGGAGAATAAGTCGACTGTTGCAGTTTGCTTGTTTATGAACATATTTTGATCGATTTTGGAAAATACTTTTATTTCTTACTAAACTATTATCATTTTATAAAAAAATCTTTTTTACCCTCCCTGTTGCAGCAAACCTAAGGTACTTGTTAAACTAATTCTATTTAAATAGGAAATAAATGTGCCATTTTTATGGAGGCATTTTAGTGTAAATCCAATCAGGTCAATGGAAATTCGCTTAGTCTGCAGGTTTGCTGCGGCGGGGGTATATTTCTTTTGTATTGGCCTAAATCTTTTTTGGACAATTCACGGGGAACCGTATAAATAACACACAATTTTTTAAATAAACCGATGTAATATAACATGCTCTTAATAATAATCAATATTTATGTAATCTACACACTCTTTAACAATGGGATATATAAGCTTAGTGTTTATACAACTCACCTAGCCACCAGTCTTTGTTTGAAACATGGCCTACCTGTAATCAATATAATTTTTTTTTTTTTATTATCCTGTGTTTGCGTAATTTGTGCACGTAATTTTAGCTAAATGCATTACATATGAAAGTAATTATTACCACGTTGCCTAAGAATAGACCTTTGATCAAGTAAAGTCCAGTCCAGAGTCCAGTTTCGAGAATCAAGATAATCGTATACAAACTCTTCTCGAACTGAATTGGTGATCTATTTGTCAAGGGAGCACTATCTACTCAGCCAGCCTAAATATAACACTAGTTATAGCGATGTATTATTTAATAAATAATATGTAATCAAATTGTTTAGACCACTTGGTAAATATTTTGGCTATTTAGCAATACGCTTACATATTTCCTTTTATTTGTAGCATAAAACCAAGCCATATTTCATTACATAAGTAGTTACTATCAGCAGTATAACCTTACACGAGGAAAGATGAGAGAAATATAATTGGTGGTGCAATCTAGACAGCGGCAGTAAAACCTGGAGGTGGTAATTGGTGTAATTCAATTAAGGTGCACCTTGCGTAATCTTCCTTAATGGACTCAAACAAGCTACATTTCCTCATATAATTCAATATTTCCAATAACGTTTCCTTATCATTAAACGATTTTGTAAATAATATCAATTCTTAAATCACTTTACTGAGCAGTAATATAACATTAGCAGTTTCATATGCCCTATGTGAATTCTTATTATTTTTACTTCCCCTCCGTATATAGCTTCTGATATCCGTAGCATGTGAAGAAAGTGATGTTTTAGTAAAAATCTTTGATCCCAAGTTTTCAGGTACAAATAAATGTTGTAGGTCCCCCTATGTTCGAAAAATTGCTTTTTAAGAGTTGTGTGCGTAAGTGGATAGAGCTACAGGCCACACCTGTGGTCAGATGTTTATGAAATTTAGTATGTGGGTTCTTATATATTGTATGTCAAGGTGTTTTTGTTTAAAAACTTTTATTTTTATGGTGATTATCCCATAAATTAACAATAACATCGTGATTTTACTAAAATGTCCGGATGGTAGGTTAGTATGTTTTAACCCTTTCAACTCTCTACGGCAAATGGTTGCTGTATACATTGCGGTTTAAAAGTAATCGTAACTTATATGAGTTTCTTTATAAAATATTATAGTTACCCCCACCACTATTCTATGGTAAAAGCTGTTGACAAGCTATTGGGAGAAATAAATCAGATTGCTGATGCAGTTTATTTGTAAACAGATGGTGGCCAGTTTTAACCTTGCTTTTGCCTCAAAAATAAACAGTGCTTTTGATTGTCCACATAGGCTTCGGGTCTGTGTATCAAACGTATCCTGAAAACCAAAAGGTGAACCGTTGTGGTACAAGATTGAATCTGAGCAGTACTGTCACATTATTTTGGTTATATTTTGAATGTCAGGTTAAGTGTAAGAAAGGGCCATGTGGCCCTAACTTTGCCTGAAAACATAAAGGATTTTTCATTTCATTTACTGATAAAACTAATTCTGTACACCAATATTCAAACCAACATCACTGCCACGGATTTGTAATTCGTCACGCTACACTTTTGCATTACTTAGAGTTTCATTCTAAATATAATCAATTAACCCACATTTAAAACGCAGTAAGTTTCCGTGTATTTTAGGTAAATTCGTACACGAGAGGCTAGACAAGAAGTCAATGATGGACGCTATGATGTCAACACCATTAAGTGAGGCGGACCCTGAGATTTACAGACTGATTGCCTCAGAGAGGACTAGGCAGCATTGCGGCCTCAGCTTGGTGGCCTCAGAAAATCTGACCTCAGCATCCGTGCTGAAGACACTCAGCTCGTGTCTTACCAACAAGTACTGCGAGGGTCTGCCAAATCCTAGGTAAGTGCAATGTAATGTGGAAGGAAAATAAACCAACACACCTGTATGTATTTAGGAATGTTTTCTTGTACACCAACTTTAGTAACAACTATCGTAATAGCAATTGGAACATAAAACTTTACAAACACCGCAATAGAAATCAAGTAAATTGCGACTAAAAACTGTAAACTAGAATATCTCTTGGATGGATTATTTTAGTAGATAGAAATCTGACGTTTACTGTATGGGCCAAGTGTTAAATTAATTTTCATTGAGCAAAAAAGTGATGAATTCACATTTAGTATCGAAATATCGAAGAACTGGTAAAAGTAGTAAGGCTAAAAGTTACTCAAAATTCTTGCTTTGTTGACGATCTCAAAATCTTGTAAGAAATGCCAGTTTTATCAGTGATGAGTGTGAAATGGCAAACCTGATGCTTGTAAGACTACTGAATATTCCTGAAACCTCTTTTCTGGGAATGGTAAATTAACCCAATTACCCTTGCAAAATTCCAACCAAACAAATAAATTCAATTGTTACTAGGCTATTTCTTTAATATTTGGATTTGTTCAAAAATCAAGATTTGCTTCAATTACAGAGATCATGGCAGCAACAGATACTTGGATCGCATTGAGCACCTATGTCAAGAAAGGGCGTTACAAGCCTTCAATCTTCCCCCGACAGAGTGGGGAGTGAACGTCCAACCTTACTCTGGTACTCCAGCCAACAATGTGGTGTACATGGCATTGCTTAGACCCCATGATAGAATTATGTGTGAGTTCCTACAAACCAAAAGATATGGCGACAGATAATCAAGATTTTCTTAAACAATATAAATTATTTTATGTATTCTGTCAGATATAGTTAAAACACGGAATTTTATTTGAGGCGACGCAAAGAAAACTGTTACACTTTCAAACAATAAAATATATCAAAGAGTTTTCTCGATTTAGATACATTTCTATGTTAATGTGGTAAAAAAACTAAAGTTGGGAAGATATAATTTTCTCAGCATTTTATTTTCTTAAAAATATTTTTTTTATTATCATTAGTTAAGAACCACTGGGAACTCTCAATATAAAGCCCTAAGCTGTTACAATTAAAGTCCAATCTTAGTACTGTGTGAAAACAAAGGCGTTTAGTAATTTAGTTAAGATTTATATTTCAGTAGCTTAAAATAAAAATTCGGTCAGTAGTGACTTAAAAATTCCGTTGCAAGATGAACTTTGAATTCAATGCAGCTATGTCTTGGGTTTGCATACTTATGGTAACAATTACAAATTGTCATCATAGTTCATTCTTGTACCGTACCGACTCATCTCTTCCATTCACAGCCATTGAAACCGAATTAGAGTCAGGGGGTGGGTAAAAGATTAAGATAGAAAACGAACCAATCAGAAAAAAGGAGGATCCAATAAAAATGTGACTAAAATTTACATAATTGTGTCCAACTGTTCCAGATCTAGATCTTCTAGACGGTGGACATGTAAGTCATGGCAACATGACCTTAGAGGAAAGGCTATCTCGTGCCTCTGTGTTCTATGAGACCATGCCTTATAAGGTGAACCCCAGGACTGGGCTGATAGACTACGACAAGTTTGCTAGAACTGCACGTCTGTTCAAACCAAAACTGATTATTGCAGGTTGGTTGTATTTAAATACTAATTTTTTCGATTACTTAACAATGACAAAATCTTTGTGTCATTTGAGGTGTCGTAGATAAAAGAAGTTAATTTAGATAAAGAAAGAAAGTTAATTTGAAAATAAAAATCTTTTCCTAATGACTATCTATCTTACAAAGTCTTAATATTTTTGTGAAATATAAAATCACTATCGTTAAATGGATAGTGATTTTATATTTTATGAAAGGTATCACATACCAATGCATTTTGCATTGGCAAATGACTTACTACTCACACTAATACACGTGAAATCACATGATATTGATATTTCCCAAAAAATTTAGTCCACTAGTATTTTAATACCTAATTACCGTTTTGAGTATGCAAAAGAGGTCTCTTTGGTTGTTTTTAGCTCTTGACTTTTTGCAAGCTGTTAAAAAAAATTTCATTTGTTATGAGTCCGTGCATTTTTCAATTCATTAGTGAAACTATAGTGCACAAACGTAACACTTGATTAAGGATGAAAACAAAATGAACAGTACAATAATAAGCTATTTAGAGATGATTTAAAACTCTCTCACAACCCCAGGGTCAGCTTCCTACTCACGCTACCTCAACTACAAGAAGTTTCGGCGGATCTCAGACGAGGTAGGAGCCTTCCTGCTGGCAGACGCCGGGCAGATAGCAGGGTTGGTTCAGGCAGAAGTTATATATTCACCATTCCATCACTGCGACATCGTCAGTATTGCTACACACCATACTCTCCGTGGACCACGGGCAGGAATCGTATTCTATAGGAAAGGTAAATGCAGTCTGTGTCTCCAAGTTTTATGCAGGGCCCAGAAGAATTGATTCGGTATTCTTGTTTATATTAGCCACATCTCAAAATAAATAAGTTATTTATGTTCTTACCACTTAAGCTACTAGATATTAATGTATTTAAAGGGGCACTAGGGTAAACTAATATAAACACCCCTCTTCACCACCCCCCTATCTTCTCCACCCCTCTTCTTGTCTTTGTGTAAATGTTAGGTCATGATTCTGGACGATATGACTCTAATTACTAGGGATATTGTATTCCCTGGTTAACCAGCTCAAACCTGTTTAAATTTGGCATATGTTACAACGATGTAGGTAGTTAAGTATGAACTGACTTTGATTTCCATATCTGTGTTTTGGATTAATAACCTTTTTTAGCATACTATACAACATATTATGCATTTCCGGCTTTTCTGTTGTAAGGCCTGGCCAGGGCGTTATCCCAGGACTAGATCAAAGTCACAATCCCACTATATCCCGTGTGTTTCAGGCGTAAGGTCAGTCTCCCAAGATGGCAACACTGTTATGTACGACCTGCCTCAAAGTCTTGGCCAGGGTGTGTTTCCAGGACTAGATCAAAGTCGCAATCCCACTATACCCCGTGTGTTCCAGGCGTAAGGTCAGTCTCCCAAGATGGCAACACTGTTATGTACGACCTGCCTCAAAGTCTAGGCCAGGGTGTGTTTCCAGGACTAGATCAAAGTCACAATCCCACTATATCCCGTGTGTTTCAGGCGTAAGGTCAGCCTCCCAAGATGGCAACACTGTTATGTACGACCTGCCTCAAAGTCTAGGCCAGGGTGTGTTTCCAGGACTAGATCAAAGTCGCAATCCCACTATATCCCGTGTGTTTCAGGCGTAAGGTCAGTCTCCCAAGATGGCAACACTGTTATGTACGACCTGCCTCAAAGTCTAGGCCAGGGTGTGTTTCCAGGATTAGATCAAAGTCGCAATCCCACTATATCCCGTGTGTTTCAGGCGTAATGTCAGTCTCCCAAGATGGCAACACTGTTATGTACGACCTGCCTCAAAGTCTTGGCCAGGGTGTGTTTCCAGGACTAGATCAAAGTCGCAATCCCACTATACCCCGTGTGTTTCAGGCGTAAGGTCAGTCTCCCAAGATGGCAACACTGTTATGTACGACCTGCCTCAAAGTCTTGGCCAGGGTGTGTTTCCAGGACTAGATCAAAGTCACAATCCCACTATATCCCGTGTGTTTCAGGCGTAAGGTCAGTCTCCCAAGATGGCAACACTGTTATGTACGACCTGCCTCAAAGGCTAGGACAGGGTGTGTTTCCAGGACTAGATCAAAGTCACAATCCCACTATATCCCGTGTGTTTCAGGCGTAAGGTCAGTCTCCCAAGATGGCAACACTGTTATGTACGACCTGCCTCAAAGGCTAGGACAGGGTGTGTTTCCAGGACTAGATCAAAGTCGCAATCCCACTATACCCCGTGTGTTCCAGGCGTAAGGTCAGTCTCCCAAGATGGCAACACTGTTATGTACGACCTGCCTCAAAGTCTAGGCCAGGGTGTGTTTCCAGGACTAGATCAAAGTCACAATCCCACTATATCCCGTGTGTTTCAGGCGTAAGGTCAGCCTCCCAAGATGGCAACACTGTTATGTACGACCTGCCTCAAAGTCTAGGCCAGGGTGTGTTTCCAGGACTAGATCAAAGTCACAATCCCACTATATCCCGTGTGTTTCAGGCGTAAGGTCAGTCTCCCAAGATGGCAACACTGTTATGTACGACCTGCCTCAAAGTCTAGGCCAGGGTGTGTTTCCAGGACTAGATCAAAGTCACAATCCCACTATATCCCGTGTGTTTCAGGCGTAAGGTCAGTCTCCCAAGATGGCAACACTGTTATGTACGACCTGCCTCAAAGTCTTGGCCAGGGTGTGTTTCCAGGACTAGATCAAAGTCGCAATCCCACTATACCCCGTGTGTTTCAGGCGTAAGGTCAGTCTCCCAAGATGGCAACACTGTTATGTACGACCTGCCTCAATGTCTAGGCCAGGGTGTGTTTCCAGGATTAGATCAAAGTCGCAATCCCACTATATCCCGTGTGTTTCAGGCGTAAGGTCAGTCTCCCAAGATGGCAACACTGTTATGTACGACCTGCCTCAAAGTCTAGGCCAGGGTGTGTTTCCAGGATTAGATCAAAGTCGCAATCCCACTATATCCCGTGTGTTTCAGGCGTAAGGTCAGTCTCCCAAGATGGCAACACTGTTATGTACGACCTGCCTCAAAGGCTAGGACAGGGTGTGTTTCCAGGACTAGATCAAAGTCACAATCCCACTATATCCCGTGTGTTTCAGGCGTAAGGTCAGTCTCCCAAGATGGCAACACTGTTATGTACGACCTGCCTCAAAGGCTAGGACAGGGTGTGTTTCCAGGACTAGATCAAAGTCACAATCCCACTATATCCCGTGTGTTTCAGGCGTAAGGTCAGTCTCCCAAGATGGCAACACTGTCATGTACGACCTGCCTCAAAGGCTAGGCCAGGGTGTGTTTCCAGCACCAGATCAAGGCCCGGGCTTAATGTTAGCTGGACGTGCAGACCAAATTGCTTCCATAGCCTGCGCTCTCCAACAGACGAAATCTCCACTCTTTAAAGAATACCAAAAACAGGTAATATGGCATGTAAATTATTTGAAAATTTATCCGTTTTTTTAAATAGCCTTATTTAGATTAGGGCTACACCTAGGGCATATATTATTTGTTATAATTGTTGTTTTGTTTTGTCATTAGAAACGATGATTGAACTAATTTATTTTTATTTTTAAGGATTTAAAGAAATACGCTATTTATTGAGCAGGGTCAGTGATCACGTGGACACTGAGCATAATAATAATGGCATTGATTATCTAGGATATTAAAAGGGGTAATAAATCTTATAATTTTTTGTGTGTTAAGGTAAATTTGGACAAGTATCTTTTATCATTAATGTAGTTTTTTTTTTTCATTTAAAATGTTTCTCTTTAAGTACCAAAGAAAATATATTCCTTTAATGAGTACCTAAGAGATTACATACAGGATTCTTCATATTTACAGGTTTTAAGAAATGCAAAGACACTGTGTTTTTGCTTACAACGACGAGGCTATAAGATAGTTTCAGGAGGTACAGATATTCATCTCTTCGTCGTTGATTTGAGAAATCATCACATTTCTGGAGAGACCGCGGAGTATGTGCTGGATAGAGTCAACATTACTTGTAGCCGAAGCGCGGGTAAGCAGCTGTTTATAACAGTGGCTTTCAGATGCCAGGACAATCTACATGATCCATCAGTAGCAGACTTTGTATTCAAATAATAAATTTTTTGATAAAACACTGACACAGTGAGCTAATGTCAAAGAATTTACTAATTTTCTCTTATTTGTTGATACTTTAATTGTGTTTGTGATATAAAATAAGCTGCAAACAAAAAAGGTTGAATTTTCGGTTTGAATTACTTAAAAAGTAGGTGTAAAACCACGGATTAAAGAATTCCGTGAAAATAAACTGAATTCAGCAATTAATTAGACTACACCCTGTCAGAGCTTCAATTTAACTACGTAAATTTTCATTCTCAATTCACTACAACTTTAACATAACATTGGGATGTCTAGTTCTAAAGTGGTTGTGCGAACCGATGGAAAATTAGTTTAAAAAAGTGGATGGTTTTTTGGCTTGGGTTTTGATATTCATTGTCCTGGATGTGTATGAACTCTACTGGTGAAAACGAATAATCGTTTTAGTATGTATTGTGGTTTGAATCTAGACCAAGCTAGCAATTGAATGAGTGTAAAGAAATCTTATTAGGATTTATATAGTAGATCACATAAAACCTGCCCTCTGATGGTTCATGTAGCATTTCTAGACTGCTTTTAGATGCAAAATTAGTCAACACAACCTCAGTCATTATCTAGTTCAGTCTGCTTCCAGTCCTATCGCGGCAATGTACAGTCGTGTTTTTGTTTTTGTTTGTGTTACGTGTAAAATGTGAGTAACTTATTTTTACACCCCAAGTGGACCCTTTTGTTAGCCTGACGATGGCGGAGTTTTAACTTACCACCGAAACATATGTAGCAAGTTTTAAACAACACTACAGTTTATGTTATGGAGTGTCCAACAAGGTATTATTAATCACAATTTGACATAAAACGCAATCCCGGGGCTATCAAAATTATTTGTAAATCTTTGCAGTTCCGGGAGAAAAGAGCCTATCAACCGCTAGTGGTATCAGACTGGGAACTCCTTCATTGACCACCAGAGGGATGGTGGAGAATGACATGGAAACAGTCTCTGAGTTTATCCATAGAGGCAAGTATCAAGCGATTGTATATTTCTGACTTGATTACTTCAGTTAATTTAAACATTTCAAGAATTGTGCTTTTGATGACTGTTCTAAAATAACTAAAACAATGATTGCCATTGAAAAACAGTGTGCATAGAATCTTTATGTAGTGTTTATAAGCTACATATATAGTTGATTTTATAAGTTTATTACATCATATTGTTAAGGATATTTACAAATCAATGTAAAATTACGCTTAAGGTGGCATTTAAATATAAGGAATAATTTTATTATTAATCGTCTTACAGGTTTGGTCTTAGCAAAGGATGCACTAATATCCTCCAAACTAAGGTTTGAGGCTCTAAAAACTACTATTTTAGAAGATAAAATCATCGTGGATAAATTACAAGTACTTCGGAAGGAAGTGGAAGAGTACACGGAAGGATTTCCTTTTCCCTCTCTGCATCAACTTTGATTGGGCGCTGACTAAATATGAATAAATGAACTGAATAAAAGTTATGAATTTTATTTCAAAAGAGGTTTTTTCTGTTCCGCTCAAACATGTTTGAATTGAGCTTTTTGATATGTTTGTTTACTTCTTAGATTTATTAACATTATACAATATGTATTAACTTTTGTGATAAATTATTTTATATGTGCAGTTTTTAAACTGTTTTTACCTTTTTATATTGGCTCCTATCCCTACTATATCACATGTATATCACATGTGTATCACATGGAAATTGTGGTTAGCTGAACGAATCACTTTGTCTACCTTCATTTACTATTTATTTCCAGTGTTGTGTAAGCTATTTTCACATGACATTCACCAAACTTTAGTATTTTTTTTTATTGCATTTGGAATCATTTATGTTTGGAAACATGTTAATTTATTAGTATCAACAATATGTCACGACTCTTCGGGAGAGGAATCTTGGATATTTCCCAATCATCATCGTAAATGTCTCCAATAGTCTATCGAATATAATTCACATCCTTCCCTCATCCCATCACTAAAAACTGATTTTCAATAATAATTTTTATTAAAATATTTTTTTAATATATGCGTTACAGTACCCTTACATAGCTATTTATAAGTAGTATGCCTCACAAATAATATACCCAAACAAATTAACTTGTACAAACTATATTAAGTACATTTTCCATAGTTTATTACACGTCAAACCTTCTCTACACAATCATCTATATAAAGGAATGATGATGGCATTTTTATATCAGTGGTTACAATAAGCCAATTTATTATATGTCACAAAACATGCATCGAAACATCCACGGGGCTGACCTCACAGTTATTATGTTGTCATCAAACTGTCGAAGCTGAAATCTACATTTCAATGCGGTTGTGTTAACTCTTTCCTACTTGACCATGTTTTGTCGGTGGAAAAAAAAAACTGTCTTTCTAAACCTAACTAGGCCTATAAACTTATGTGACCTCACCTTTTTTACGATTGACTTCTCTGTACTGTTGTTATTTAAGTTACTAAATTTGCCATTATCAACGAAGTTAAAACAGCAATAAACAACGCATGAAATACAATGAACAGTTATCACTACTACCAATAGTTTATTTGAAGTCTAGGAGAAGATAACTGTAGAGTGTGTGTCCAAACTAAGGAATCCCCTCCTTGTCCTTCACAAGAGCCACTACGATTACACTATTCTGTATATGGAAATAAAATACTGACTTCTAGTCAAAGTATTTTTTTCTACTCGCACGTAGGAGCTTTCGGTTTAATCAAGGACGTTATAACAATTGTATAATTAGCTAACATGAAATGCCAATAGAAATAACCGATATTAACAATATCACAATATAAAAATAGAACACAAATCATAGCTTAAGTAAACGACTTATGTCATATACTACACACTGTAATGACATAAACAAACAACTGATGCGGACTGAATACAAATTTAAAATGTTACCAGATAAATAACGTGAATGTTACTTATTAATTTAAATGATTAAACATTGATTACGATTAGACAAATTATTGTATTATCAAAGACAAATCACCCACGACGAGGAAGGCTTGAATGTGTATCCAAAGTACGTTTAGAAATAACATTAAAATATTTTTGATCCAGGTAACGAAGGTATTTTGGAAAAAATGAATTTTTAGGTTTAAGCAGTTCAACATTATCAGCATGTTTAGCTATGCGAGTCTCAGGGTCATTTTCGTTAACATCACTTACTATTTAGTTATTTCCACTTACTAGGTAGAATAAAAATATAAACTTAAAAATTAATCCTAATGGTAATATTATGCACAATGTATGCATCCCTCGAAAAACAATTAACTCCATAGCTTAACATTAAATTGAGAAAAGCAGGAGGCGTTTTACATATATATTTACAGTTAATTAGGACCTTTGAAGACTAAATAGTTGCAGTAAATTTGCAAGATTCTAGCTAGAACCCGTATGATAATATCTATTGCATGTAATAAATTATGTTTGTAGGAAGTGCAGTAGAACCTCAATAAAAAGACTCTCGTAGAGATTATTAAATAAGACCGTAATAGGTAATAGGTAAGGCCTGCTAATGATTACTGGACAAAGACTTTTAATCAAGTGTGACTTCTTATCGAGGTTCGCATAAGAACACAACATTACATGTAATTATGTGTATAAATAATTCTAGTTGACCTTCCCAAGTCTTTTTCTACTTGTTTAAATGGTTTGTTTGAAACACTGGAATTATATTAGCTATAGTAATTACTGGCATTATTCGTAACTGCTCGAAAACTAATATAAATTTTAATTAGCTCACGAAATCCAGCTTTTATATTGTCATCTCAACAGTTTATCATTCTTAATTTGAATTATTATAATTTAAAATTTCCAGATTTGTAGAAGATAAAAAACATATGTGTATGTATCGTCAGTATAACTTTTTTTTGGTATAACATATATATAATTTAAAACTTTTTGATGGTCAAGAGTGCGTTTTTTACTGATCCGTTTTGTAAAATATAGGATTTAATTTAATATCAAAGGTGGAAAATATATTTATGAGGTTATTCTAACAACGGCTAAAATATTTCTAGTGAATAATAGTTCAAAACAATCTTCAACATTGGTTGGTCTGGTCTATGCCCATTGGCTTATTATAATAAAATAAAATGCCATAGCTTATAAGAACATT